CCCTCTGGCATCCTAAGCCAGCTCTTAACCACCGCGCCACTCGGCCGGCCCTGTCATGTCTTTATTGACCAATCTTAGGGGTTATCTGTTGTCGTCCATTAATGGTACAGGATGATTTCAGTTCTCTCGTATGTGCTCTCTTACCTAGATAACTCACAATTTTGGTTAAATCCATATCCAGAATATTTATCAGTCTGTTCAGGTCATTTTGGGTGGGATGGTAAACTACAGTTGTTCTTTTTTGTACTGTCTTTTTTTCTTCCCTGGAATTAGTAATTGCCTTATTTTTCACTTGTCCGGTTTCCTTTGAACCTCAAAGTCATGTTCTTGCACCTTTTATTCTTTCAAATGTTTCTCAAGTTCTCACCACTCAGCCCTGTCAGCTCTCCAGTGGTCCCTGTGCTTGGTCACCCTGACCGAGTCAGAGTGCTTGTTCTCTTGGCTGCTGCACTGTCACCCTGGGAATGCTCCCCACCTTTCTGGGTGATGGGCCATTTCCCATGTCCAGGCTGCCTCTATGTGGTCGCTCATGGTGTTGGAGCACATTTTCCAGTGCCTTCTCAATAGTTTGTTGGGGTGCTCACTCTGGGGCTTGCATGTCCGAAAACGTGTTTATTTCACACCACACTTGCTGGGCTTGGCACTCCAGCTTGGGAGTCATTTTAATTTTCAAGTTATTGCTCCAATATCTTCTAGTTTTCATCGCTGCTGTTGAGAAGTCCAGTTTGAGTCTTAATTTGCGGTAAGCAGTATTCCTCCTCCTAACTTAACTTTTAGGATCACTGCAGCCTTGATTTTCCTAATTTTCATGATTTGCCTTAGTAGCTGCCTTTCATTTATCATGCAGTGTATTAAGTGGCCCTGAAATTTGGAGGTAGATGGATGCCCTTTCATTTATAGGAAATTTTGGTACAATATATTTGCGATAGTTCATTATTATTTTCTCTACATTTTCCTTTTCTAATCCCTTTACTTGAATGTTGGAGTTTCTGTACTTAGTATTCTAATTATTTTTTCCTTGTCGTGTCTTGATCTTTTGTTTACTTTTGGGAGCATTTTTTACTACTTTCTAATTCTTTTTACTGAAATTTTAATTTCTGCTTTCATATTTTCACGTTCTTTACTGTTCTGTTTCTTTTTTTTGAGCATTTTTATAAGTTTTCAGTCAACGCTGGAAGCCAGATCTCAAATGCTCCCTCTGTTCTTTTTTTAATGTCTTCTGTTCTTGTTTTACATGTATAGTATCTTTGCTTATCTACTAATGTCTGTTAAATTGTTTAAAATTACAGTTAAATTTTTTAAAAAATTATTAAAAACTTTTTGTTTTCTGATTTTTTTTTTTTTTCTGTTTGCCCTGTGTTTCTCTTTGCTGTTGTGTCTTTTGGTCTCTTTCTTTCATGCTGGAAACCTTCCGATGTCTGGTGACGACCCCCCCCCCCCTTGGCTGTTTATTCACCTCTGAGGATAAAGTAATAAAAATGGCCAGCTGATTGGGGGCTTGTTTACTTGTTGCTTTCCCTGAAAAGGGTGATGACTAATGTTTTTTTGGGTTGGCCCTCTTCCAAATGTTACTATCTGCTGGTTTGGTTTCCTTGGAGAAGGATCCTTCCGTGTCGTGCGTGCCTTGTTGCTGTGAGCTGGATGCTGGGAGCTAGGTTAGGGGCAGGTCGAGAACCTTCCTGGAGCTCAGTGAGTAGCCTTTCCCTAATTTCCTTGTTGTCAGTGGAGTAGCTTGCTCCTGTCTTTCTTTGTGCCTGCTGTCCCCTAGTGTGGTGTATTTCCGGTGGAGATTGCAGAGCTAAATCTCAGAAGAGGAGTGTGTCTGCGTGTGCAGGAGGGGCCTGGGGACCTGAGAGTGCAGTGTTCCTTCTGTGGGTCTCTACTCCCACCCTTCTTAGCTCCAGGCGTCTCCCCACTTCTGAGCCGTGTGCTGTCTGTGGGGCCGGCAGCCTGCTCCTCAGCCGGGACTGCCTTCCTGTGCTCTGTGGGGTGATGAGCTTTCCTCCATCCTCCATCTTCCTATTCAGGTTTGTGTTGGGGTTTCAAATGTCTCCTGGGTGGAGTTTGTCTCTCCTTCCTGTTCTTGTCTTCGGTTGATCTTCGATAAGACGGGGTGGAAAGTCTGTTCTGCCGTCTAGAAATCAGAGGCATTTACTGTAAATCTCGAGAGGGGAATTTGCACCCACACTCAGAGCACAGCGTCCTGTGGGCAGGGCTGCCTGCATGGGGTCTTACTGTGTAGTTTGTGGCCCTGGAGTCTTAAGGGGTCAGCCAGGGCGAGAAAGTCACCTCGGCCCCCTGTGCCCAAGGACGTGTGGTCAGTGCCAATGTGGGGACTGGAGCCCTCGTTTCCTGCTTCTGTTTCCTGTCACATCACCACACAATTTTATGTATTTGACCACATTTTGTTGACTTTGTCTTTGGAAGTAATTAGCTCATTAGAGCCATATTTTGGGCCTGTCCTCCTTAGGAACCTTCCGTTTGTCATGTGGAAGCTTGGCTGAGCAGTGTGGGATGGATGCCTTCAGCTCACAGTGGGGGCAGCTGGGCTCAGCCTGCACTCTCATGCTGCCAGTTGTATGGGGAGTAGTCACTGGATTCCAGGTGTCTTGGCCCAACTACGTACCTACCTACTCACTGCAGGTGTGGTACGGAGCCGCAGCCCTCCGTTTACTCATCTGCTTTTATTTTACTCCTAGTCTTTATTTATTTATTTTTTTAAAAAGATTTTTATTGGGGAATTGGGGGGATGGGAACAGCGCTGGGGAATTGGGGAAAGGGGACAGGCAAGTTGCTGCCGTTTTGTTCTTCAGTCTAGTTGTGGAGGACGTTGCTTCACTGGTCCAAGTTGGCACCATCATTGCGCTCTTCCCGGGCGAGGCAGATCAGTCGCCGGCTTCTGGACGGCTGCTCTGCGGCTGCTGGCCGCTCATGCTGGCTGCTGGCTACATACGGTAGCCCATGGCAACCCACTGCCACAGGGGCTGCAGCCTACGCCGTCGCCGGCGACTCACGGCAGCCCAGCTCCAGGTTGAGCTGTTGTTCAGCATCTTAGCTGTGGAGGGCAGTGTCACTGGCCCTCATATGTGGGATCCGAACCGGGGCCCTCTGGCGTCCCAA